AATGTAGCTAGACACACATTTAACCCTAAATGTAGGTGTTACATAGCTTATACCATATATTCTTAGAAAACAATTGAACCAAAACCGTGAATCGACACACAGTTCTTTGTTTGATCACAACTTTGTTCTGGTTTGAACTATTTAAAGAAATTGGATCATGGTTCTGAGGTCACGTCGATTTGGTTTTTGAAACATTGTTTGGAATTGACATGGAGTATGAATTTCCCCCCTAATTTGTATCCCAATTTTGCCACCTTTTCCTTATATATTATAAGAGAAGTGATTAAGAAAGATCAAAAGATTAATGATTCAGAGAGAAGCATGGTCCTGGATAGAACATTATGGTGGAAATTGATCCATGTAGCCGACTTCACTTAGTGGGATAAGACTTGGTTGTTGTTGTTGTTCCTTATATACGTAGAACTAACTATTTGGGTGAATCTAAAATCATCATTTGGAGCTTTTTGGGTGAATCTAAAATCATCATTTGGAGCTAATAAAATGTATGTTACTTCCTACTGCATTTCCTTGTTATTCCTTCTAATATTTGGTAAGAGAACAAAGGATTTTTTGCATGTGTGGTAGCTCATTTCAGTCAATTGCCACAGTTTTGGTCTAATTTTTGGACAAAGTGGAAGCGGAAAAACAACACTGTTGCAGGTCTTCCACCTCTCTACTCTTTTGCAAATCTGCTTTATTGAAAATTCAATGTTACTTACCTGTTTGGATGATTATCTTCGCTCCTCCCTGTGAACTCTTTTCGTTCCATATAGCTTCTTGCAGGAATAAGCAAACCAACATCTGGATCTATTTACATCCAAAAATATGGGGATGATGGAAATCCTAGTCAATCTCCGGAGCCCTTGGTGCCAGAAAGGGTTGGTATTGTCTTCCAGTTTCCAGAGAGGTACAAAAATAAGTTAGCTGAATACAGTAAAATGTATTTTTATTCTACAACTTGCATTTTGTTTTAATCTTATGCTGTAACTAATGAGCAATAATGCTATATACTACATCAACTACATAGTTTCAATTTTACCGTTGGAACCCTTACAAGTTTCAAGTGAAGAATAGACCTCGAAAAGGTCCCAAGGGACCAACATTTCAGGCTTTACCATCATCTATAGTATATAGTTCTCTTGATGCTGAAAATGTATTACACTATTGTCTGACATGACATATAAGTAAGAATGTTATACAAATCTTTGTTTCAAACACTTGTACAACTTGCAACACAAATTACCTTTAGACTTAGAGGTATGTTTTTCATCTGTGATTAGTTTCAGTGTTTTACTTGAAGTATTTTGAACTTTGAGGGATAACCCAGTTGAGTATCCAAATATTCTTGGTAATCTACATGAAACACTTTTTACAGGCTTCATGGTACTAAATCAAATATTTTTTTATCCAATTGTACAAGCGGTATATTGTTCAATTTCCAAACTGTCTCCTTTAGCCTTTTGTAATTATTTTCTGATCATGTTTCATTTTTATTGGATTTCCATTTCTAAACTTCTACACATATTGGTGTTGCAACCTAGGTATTTTGTTGCTGATACTGTACTTGATGAAGTCACTTTTGGGTGGCCAAGGCAAAAGGGTAATGATCAATCAAGGGAGCAACTTGCTCTAGGGCTTCAGAGGGCAATTAACTGGGTAGTTATATCCAATATGCAAATTCCTTTGTATGTTTATTTATAGTCATTATATTATTTAGTACTTTCTTCATGTTCGTTTTGTTCTTATGTTTCACATGCAATTTGCATTTCTTATTCATAACTATAGGTTGGATTAAGTGGGATATCATTGGATAAGAATCCTCACTCCCTCAGCGGTGGTTACAAACGTCGCCTTGCCTTGGCAATACAATTAGTAAGTTAATTTTTCTTAGAAAGAAATTAGAAACAAAATACAGACATGCCTGCTTGATTTTGCTTCATGTCTTCACATGACTGGCTCCTGATAGTTGTTTTAGTTTTCAAAGAACCGAGTGTCAATTGGATTAGTTGTATTTTTACTTTTCAGGTGCAAATCCCTGATTTATTAATATTGGACGAGCCTCTTGCTGGACTTGGTATGAAACTGTAACCTGTGATTTTTTCATTCAGCATTACTACGAGTTATTGAACTAAATTTACCTTTGGATTTCTTCCCTTTAAAAAGTATTCAACTTATTCCAATTAAAATCAAGTTTTTGCTACATTTTGTTCAAAATTCTTTTGTAACATAATTGTTATCATTATCAGGTTTCCTATTGTTTTGGGAGTCTAATTATCTTAGTAGTGTAATTGGACCTGACCTCTACTGATGTCTGATTGTACTACACTACATTACCTGACCTGGAATATTAGTATGAATAGTTGAAAAGTTAGTTTTAAGCAACAAAAAAATGTTGAAGCAACAAAGAAAATGTTGAAAACGGGGAGGCTGTGATACCATGTAGAAAAATGTTTCTAATATATTTCAACGTTATGTTACAATACAGTAGGTAAACTGTTTAAATAGAACTACATATTACAATATAAAAGTAATTACAAATATTACTATTTACAGTGTATTGTTTACATCAGTTATTTAGGAAATGTATTTTTTTTTAAATGAACTTTAATGTATCTGTTAAAGTTGTATCTAATACTTTCCCTTTGGTTAGATTGGAAAGCGCGTGTGGATGTTGTGAAGCTTTTAAAGCATCTAAAAAAAGAATTAACCGTGCTAGTTGTCAGCCATGACTTGAGGTTGTTTCGATTTACTCTATTAATTTTAGATCATCTAGCTTTTTTAATCATATTATTTTTTTACACACACTTATATGAGCAATGTATGCATTTCTTGTAGATATGGAAATAGTAAAGTAATTTTAACAATTTATTAACCTTAAATTTGTGACTTTTTCTTATCATTAGGACAAAAAAAAGCAGTTTTTTCTTATATATGGTGCCAAAGGGAGTATTAGTATTTGCTTACAAGTTATTCTTTTCTTTTGCTTTAATTTTTTATTTGTCCATTTCTTTTGGAAATTCTAATTTCAAATATTACAAAGAAACTGAATTAATTTAAGCTAAATAATTATAGGATATATTAATGTAAAAGAAGTTTTGGTTTCTCTTTTTATATCCTGTTAGTACTTTTGTGAATTGCTAATTTTTCTTACTGGGCTTCCTATGTGAATTTCAGAGAGTTTGCGAGTCTAGTTGATCAATCATGGAGGATGGAAATGGGTGGCAATCTTAGACAGGAGCTTCTACCATTATAATTTATATTTATTGCCTTGATAACCAAGATGGAATGCTATGAGGTCTGAACCTTAATCTTAAGTGCTTGATGTATTTTCTACTTCTCCTTTAGCGTAGGCTTTTGGGATATTTGGTCCTTAGAATAATTTTTTACTGCCTTGATAATTTATACAGTAACTCTTTTAAAAGAAAAAGTAATCCTGATTTTGCAGTTGTCAACATATATATGATGTACTCTTTATTTAGTATAGACTTTTGAGACATTTGGTCCTTAGAATGAACCCGGGGCTTGTTTCAGCATATACTTGTGGGCCTTTGCTTTTCCCACACTTCAAGCCAAATTGAATTGGGTAATTTTAGAGATAAGTTAAATAAGTAATCCGCATATAAGATTATATTTTTCGTGACAGGCAGTAACCTCCAAGTAGGAGAGTGTATGTGTATGTGAGAAGGAATAGGAAAGAAACAAAATATCACAGCCTCTAAATTAGTTGAAACTGGTTAACTAAGTGGAGTGACTATTTTTAATTGAGATAGCTGCGGGGTGGGAATTAAAACAGGAGAAAAAAATGTGAGGTAGGGTATTGGATTGAATTCTGAGTATGTGGAAGAGGCCAGAACCTTTGAAATCGTCAGCAATTATTTTGTTCAATGTATTCTTTTCCCTGAACCAGTTCACACTACATTGGTACTGGATTTGGGAATCAGTTGTCAGTTCTTACTGTTGTAAGTTCTTATTTACAAAATGTTTAATATCTGAATAATATTTCTAACCTAACCAGTTACTATCTATCACAGCCTTCTTGGTTTATCAGACAGTAACTTGCATGCTCTCTTAAACCTAGTTTGGAGAGACTTTTAATGATGACCTTATATCGAATCATGGGGGTTTCCTTCGAATGGTTTCTGTTAGAATTTCCTCCTTCATTGCGATCTACTCCTAGTTGCCTAAATTGCGGCATTTGACGTGCCTTCATTGTAGTCTCCAACACCACACCTTATGTGTTGTATTTATAAGTGGGGGCAATCCTACCCTTTAAGGCTGGTTTTGTAGGAATGAGTCAGGACCAACCCACACATTCTAAGATGGTATCCGAGCCTATCCTAGATCACTTGTTGAGCTTTCCGCATCGTTCACGCTTCAGCCTCATTGACGCCCGAGCGTGAGGGGGTGTGTTGGAATTTCCGCCTTTACTGCGGTCCACCCCTAGTCGCCTAAACTGCACATTTGACCTGCCTTCATCGCAGCCTCCAACACATTCATCGTGTTGGGTTTCTATTGCGCGTATTATGTTTTGAACTACTGTTCACATTCATCTTTCTTTTTGTTTTTTACCTTATATTTAAATGTCACAATATCGATACATTAACCTCTCAAGTTTGACGGCAGAGTGAGGGCCTATATTTACCTCACGTGATGCTAGAGTGACTCTTAAGAATTCATGCGAAACTAGTGAAAGTAACCAACAGTACATGCATAACAGGTTTAGTTAGGACTAGCTCAAGAATTCACACGAAACTAGCTTCTAATTAAGATTGACTGTAGACTGTAGAGTGTCTACTTATTTGGAAGATTTCATAAAACACAGGTTTATTGAATGTATTATCGATTTCCACTTAAAAGCACATCCATAACACAATCACACCATGAAATACTGCTGTTGAGAAGTCTCTTAAAGCGACTCAATTTATTAATACTTTCATACAACATAACAGGAAATACCTCCCTTGAGAAGTCTCTTAAAGAGACTCAATTTATTAATACTTTCATACAGCATAAGTTGCTACAGCTCCAGTACCAAATCTACAATACCAACAATTGTAAGTTAGTCAAAATTTATAAATATATTTCAATTATAATGCAACCTAAATAATATGATGCTCCATACTGTATACTAGTATTCATTAAAATAATAAAGCTTGCTGGGGATTTAGTTTGAAATTTGCTGTATACTAAAGAATGTATATTTTGCATATTGGTAAGGTTTGAGTATACAATATTGTATATGGGCAATATGAAGAAAGAGAGAGAGAGAGAGTAACAAGTTATACTTGAAAACACCTTTAGTTCCTGGTAACTATTTTTTTCTTGATTGAAAAATTCTTTGCAAGTATTATGTACATGATGTTCTAACCTAACATATAATTATGTTAAATTAATAATTTAAGGATCATAGGAGCCTGTATTAATGCTGAAAGTGTTAAAAAAGTTATTTACAAGTGACAAACATACTACTCAATGAAGTCTTATACTGAGTAGAGGAGTTGCTGAAAAGTTCACATTTAAGAATCAGAAGATGCAAACCCAAATTCAGCATTCCACCCATTTACAGCGAGTGTGAGACTTAATCATTAATATTACTTGCATCAAAGGCCCCTATTATGAAGATTTCAAAATGGCTTTTTCATTATACTGTCAGTCACTCCATTTATACTGCATATTTTGTTGTTTTAAAGAAGGCTATAGGAAAACTTAAAATGACGCTTATGGACTATATTTATCAAACTATTGTGTGAATAATCAGATTCTAGAGATATATAGTACTTACACTCGGCATCTGTTTTGATCCAGTGCTCATTGTTCCCAGTCGAACCACCACAACTTAGGCCATCTTGCGATAGGTTCCAGATGGTCTCGCAGTGTTTAGACCACTTTTTTGATTTGCTATTGGAATGAAATCTTCTGCCAGGATCTGGGTTTCCGGTGTCTCTATTGTCACCTTTGTGGGATTTAGTAGCACTTTTTGCATTAATGGTGTCTTTAAGATAGACTTTTCTGTGAAACTTGCTTGGAACCTGCACCCAGATGAATAGACCAAATAAAATATTATTGATTGTTTTGTGTTCAAGATGAAATATTGAAATTGTGGTTTTATTTTGATAGCTAAACTTATTCAGGAAGACGTCTATTAGAATTCCTTAATTTAATGGCCTATTAGAATGCTTGACAATTTTTAAATGTTAATATGGTGATTTGCTTTTTATTTTCCGTTAAGAGTCCTACGTCGGACAATATATAGCCTGACGATGTGTTTATAAGTGGAGACAATCCTCACCTTACAAGCTGGTTCAGTAAAAATGAGTTAGGTTAGGTCAAACTCTAATTCTAATGTGGTACCAAAGTCTCATTTAAGATCCGTTGGGCCACCTGCTATCAGGTTTCCGCTATCTGACCACCCACCATTTATGTTCGCACTCAAGATGTCCAGTCCTAGGTGTGTTAAGAGTCCTACATCAGACAATATATTGCCTGAAGATTAGTTTATAAGTGGAAGCAATCTTCACCTTACAAGCTGGTTTTGTAGAAATGAGTTAGGCCAAACTCTAGCGTTTTACTTTATTCGAATTGATAGCAAGCTACCATTAAATTTATGTCTTTGTCTAATTGATAATATTTTTATTTCCATTTTCCCATTATATTTGGTAGAGAAATGTTAGTTCATTTGTTAGGACAGGGAAGATTTGGTTAGCAGTAGGGAATGAACCCCGCACCTCCTTCAGCGTCCTCATATACCTAGACTCACCTTCGGATAGAGTCTTGTCAAATACTATCTCCATCTTTTAATATAACTTTTAATATAAGACTGTCTTGAGTTTTTTTTCTGTATCCTTTTTTATAATACCTTTAAAAAAAGTGATTAATTATTTATTTATTATCATTTCTCTATTTATGTTACTAATTTTCTATGTTTAGGGATCGAGGTAGTATGTGATAGAATCTAGTAATAGGGACCAACCTTACGGAGCTTTGCATTGGTTGTAGTAGAATCAGCTATATTCCCGGCGGTGCTACAGCTTTTTGAGGAACTGTAGACCTTTTTCCACATTTTTTTCATAATATGCATGGCAGACTTGTGTGCTTGCTTGACTTTTTTCTCTTTTACTCTTGTTTCTATACAGTCTTCTTTTGCTGTCTTTGTCCTTTGAAATAGCTCAGCAACTGATGCCCACTCTTCCCTTACTTCTACTTCCTCTGGTATTTCGAACGATGACCCCAATAAATATCCTTGCAGTGGACATACAGTCTTGTTTCCATAATCTTCAGCATCCAAACCAGTTATTTGCTTTCTGCTAAGTATGATGTTGCTAAGACTGTTTTTTCTTGATGATTCATAAAAACATTCTTCTTCAGCCTCAAAAAATTTCTCAAGCTTGTAGCTTATGAGCTTCAGTTCCGTCTCCGTCACGTCTGCATCTTTCGTAGGTAGGTTTTCTAAAGGCGTAGCAAATGTTGGTGTTGCTGGCTCATTGGTAACTGCCTTTGCACCAAGTGTTCCAATTGTCAAAAAGCCTTCGAAGAGCTCAGATATGGCTGCAGATGTTTGTTCTTCTCTGCACCAAGATGTTTGACTTTCCTGATAGTGCGGCTTTAAGAAACAGGAATGGTTTCTGGAACTGAAGCCCAACTTTGCCCGAGAGTATTGGCTGTCAACTGTTAGCTGCACTGTAAGACGAGGAGCACAAGGATTTCCTGAAATTGGAGTTCCAAAATAAATTACTAAATTCATGAAAATAGAAATTAAAGACAAAACTATAATCTACATGAGCTGGTGAAACATATTTATACTGTAGATGAAATATTGAACGGACATCACTCTCAAGTATTGGCCTTGAGAGTGATATACGTTTAATGTTTCATCTGCAGTAGATTAGTGATTTTAATCAACTTGAAGTGGGACTTGAAAGGTTCAAGAACAATAGTGGTCCTAAATTCATATCTATTTTAAAAGCAATATATGCAAAACTCCTTAATTTTACTTTAGCTAGAGATGTGTAACATTGTGACATTTTAGTTAGAAGCTCACAGATAATGGTGCATTGATGCAGTTAATAAAAATCAATGTAACACATCTTTTGTTATGTTATTGTCGATTGACATTGTGACCAGTCATCATGAGATAGGTATAATAAACACAGCTGAATACCAAGGGTGAAGTTCTTGACGTGATTGATATTCTGCCCAAGTTTTCGATGCACCCATTGAAACAACTGCAAGAAGTAAAGGCATGTAGTTATTATGCCAAAGGTCTGGAAAAAGAAATTCATCATAAACTGATGGAGTTTAACATACCTTCATGTTGACTCGATTCTTAATTTGATAACCAAGGTTTCTCACTTAACAAATTAGGCTGGTTGGTAGTTATAAATATGAAAGGAAAAAGTTCTCCAGGTTGGTTGATTATGATGCACAAAGTGAAAAGGCACAAATATCTTTGCTTTGTGACTCAATGAGTTGGAAGTTGGTAAATGCAATGGTCTAAGATAAATTTGTCTGTTAGGAGAAAAACAATTAGATAGATACAACAATGTGGTCGGCCATTCTATTCAAATGCATGTGGGTAAATTGAGTTTGTCATGAGTACGGTTAAGAGTCCTACATCGGACAATATATGGCCTGAACATAACTTTATAAGTGGGAGTAATCCTCACCTTACAAGCTGGTTTTGTAGGGTTGAGTTAGGTCCAACTCACACATTCTAAGATAGTATCAAAGCCTCGTGCCCTAATTCCTGAGCGTGAGACCCCATATGGCCTGAATATGACTTGTGAGACCCCTTACAAGTCGGTTTTGTAGGGTTGAGTTAGGCCCAACTCACACATAATTTCTATTTGTCTATATTTTTGTCTCTGTGTAGGGTTGAGTTAGGCCCAACTCACACATTCTAAGAAGTATCAACTAGTTTCTATTTGTCTATATTTTTGTCTTTGTGTGAACTTTAAAGGAGTTGGATCTCACGCACATGTGAGTCTATAACCTCTGATCCAAGGCAGGCCAAACTGTATGCAGATGCTAAACCACTTCCGATTTTGAATCATACAGATGTTGTAAATTTCAATCGGTAATAGTTTTAGAAGAATATGTTAGACAGTGTATTGTAAACACTGTTCGAATGTTTTTGTTTAATAAACTAAGATTCATTCAAAGCAGAGTTGTTAATAGCGCCCGTAGCGGCCGCTATAGCGGCGCTCCAGAGCGGAGCGGAGGCCTGCCGCGCGCACAAGGGTGCGGTGGCGGAGAGAAGATAGTGGGCGCTATCGCCGCTATCCCGGGTCGCGGATAGCGGGCGCCTCCCGGGCGGAGCGGTTTGGGTCTGGTTTTTTTTTAAAAATTTTTTTTGGACAAAATTACTGTTTTACCCCTCTTTTAAAATACTTTTTAAAACAGATTTGCATTATATTTTCTTTCCTTCGTTTCACTTTCTCACTTTCTTCTTCTGCCCTAATTTTTGTGCCCTTCTTCTCCACCGTTCCAGTTCCAGCAAGGCAGCAACATACACATCTTCTCTGCCGTTCCAGGCTTCCAGCAAGGCAGCAACAGCACCATACACCGTTCCAGCATACACCGTTCCAGCAAGTACATCTTCTCCAATCTCCACCGTTCCATCTTCTTCTACTTTTGTCTCACATCTCCGCCGTTCGCAAGCCCTCTTTTATAGATTATTATAATATAATTATTAGTATATAAAAGGTTATCCCACTATCCGGGATCCCGCTATTCCCACTTTTCCCATTCCCGGGGATCGGCCGCTCCGCTCCGCTATCCGGGATTAATAACTCTGATTCAAAGGGAGTATAAGGGATACTCCAACCCATAAAAAACGCAACTAATTACCCTACCTGAAACAAAGGAGGGGGGTAAAGAGTTCCAGTTATAGAAATTACAATGGCCATAAGGCTTGCGACCCAACCCCATCCAAATCCAAGACCTATAAATGATTGCCGACATACAATCATCAAAATTAAAAACAGCCCCCTTTAACACTACCTCATTTCGCATCAGCCAGATACTCCACACCGACGCCAACCAGATTACACCTACAGTATTCCTATCAGTCTTGTTCTTCACCTTTCGAATGTATTCTATATATATGATTGTATATGTTTCACTTTATCTACGTATGCGCGTGGGCATGTGTGTTTACACACTAACGAGTTTTTGGTAGAAAGTTTTATTATAGGACCTGTGAAGGACCAAACCTTCTAGAACCGAACCTTCAATTGTTTTGTTATATGCGCTATTTGTGATGCTCTGTGGTAATAATTAGCTAAAACTCTTCCTACCTAGGAAGCACTTGCCGTGTGCTTGTACCTATTCCAGTACAGTTGGGAATGAGGCTATAGAAGGGGATGTTAATATCTCCCCCGACACTTTCTAAATCATGAGCAGTTCTTTTATTGATTGTACCATGATTCAAGCTTTAAGGACATTTTTCTACCTCTTTGTTTTTGTAATTATGCCATATGAACAACTTTAATTGTTGTAGTGAATTTTGCAGAGACAATGTCTGTTCCTGTTGCTGAAAGATCCACATCATGACAAAAAAAAGTGATGAGCTATTATGTTTGCCTGGAGCCGGAGAAAAACTTTTGCAAATTTCAGACTTGAACATTACTAAGCATTTCTCATTTGTAAAACATATATCATGTACAAGTGCTACAGTGAGTGTTACAGCTTCTCCAATAGTGAACATAGTTGGATGTTCTGAATTCTTGTATGGATTTTATTATTCCACATAAGTTTTAGGAACTTCAACAGCTTTTCACTTCACCAATGTAACTCTTTTAGAACTTAAAATAGGTCCCCACAAGTTACCTTACATCTGATGCTATGTATAGGGAAATTACTTTTCTTTTTAAAAATTTATAGGAACATGTTTTCTGCAAGAACAGGTTTTACATGTTGAATCCGTCTTGAAGGGTGATCATTTTAGTACTTAATTTGTTGCAACAGAGGCATATAATTACTGCAGTCCGGTACTATGTGCACAATAATAAGAATGAGCAAAACTTTAAACACCCCCTTATATTTCCCTTATGTGGTTAAACACAAATATAATTTTATATTACACTCTTTTCCAAAGTTCAACTTTAGTCTATTTATTTACACAATTGATAGATTTGTTTGATCTATTTTAATACTTGAATTCTATTACTGAATTTTACTAATCAATTATGTGTCTATCTTTCTCATAAATGCCCACCAAATAAAGAGAAAATAAGTTGAGAAAAATCGAATTCGTATCAAAATAAGTGATTCAAATAATATATTTATAAGTTAAAGCTAGAAAATATTTTTATATTTATTGGTATATTTAAATTTAACGCGAATAACATATATTTTTTTAAAATTTGTTGATTTATAAATATTAACAATTTATTTACATTAATGTATAAATATAAATATTTTTGTCAGGGATTAAATCCATATTAATTGTCACTACTGGTTCTTTTCTTGAATTTCAAACAATTGGTGTACCACCTAGCATAAACACGTAGCGAGCTGTGAATTTTCTATCCTAAACATCACTACGCTAGCTTGAGTCGGTGTATCCCACTAACTTGTATTCTTTTCTTTTATCAGTTGCAGGAAACAAAATGTCATAGTCGAGAGTGTCTTTCAGATACCTTAGTATCTTCTTCGTCGCTGCTAGATGTGATACCTTTGACTTCTGCATGAATCTACTCACCATACCTACATTGTATGCTAAGCAAGACTTTGTGTGACAAAGGTATCTTAATGACCTAATAAGTCTTTTGTATAGGGTTGAGTTGACATCATCTTCAGCTGAATCTTTCGACAGTTGCAGTCTTGATTCAACATGTGTCGAAGTTGAGTTGCATTCTTCCATCTGAAATCTCTTGAGAATTTCACTTGCATATCTTCTTTAATGCACCATCAATTCTTTACTGCTCTTGTAGAATTCGATGTCAAGGAAATATGAAATGTCGCTCAGATTAGACATTTTGAATTTCTAACTAAGACCACCTTTGAAGTCTCCGATCTCTTTCTTGCAGCTACCCGTTATTAACAAGTCATCGACATAGAGACATAGTATAAACAATTTATTCTTTCTTTTTATTACATATACTCCATGCTCAGTTGTGCGCTTCACAAATTCCTTCTCCCTTAGGAAACTATCAATCTTCTTATTCTAAACTCTTGGAGCTTGTTTGAGTTCATACAAAGGTTTATGCAACTTGTATACCTTTCTCTCTTCGCCATGCTTTACAAACCCAAATGACTACGTAACATAAACTTCTTCGTCTAAGGGTCCATTTAGGAATGCACATTTCACGTCCATCTGACATATGCGCCAACTGTCCATTACTGATAGACCAATGACCAACCTGATTGTTTCGATCCTATCAACAGATGCAAAAACTTCATCGAAATTGATTCCTTATTTCAGAAGAAATCCTTTCCCCACAAGTATTTCCTTGTGTCGAGTTACTTACCCTTTGGGATTCAACTTCACCTTGTATACCCATTTCACATCGATTGCCTTCTTGTCTTTAGGCAATTCGACAAGGGACCAAGTGTTGTTGACTTTGATGGACTTCAATTCCTCATTCATAGCTTTCACCCACTTCGAACCCTTCAATGTCTCAACAACATTGACTGGTTAGGAATATGCATAGAAAGCATAATATACCAACTCACTTTCATTATCGACCACTTCATCTGATGTAAACACACATTTCTGTAACCTTGCAGGCATGCGTCTTATTCTTTAAGGTCTGCTTGAGTTTGCTTCACTTCTGACTTCTTCTTTTCAAACTTATTCTCTTTCGACTTCAGTGGTTGGTTCTTCACAAAATATTCTCTGAATATTTGTTTATATTTTCAATCCAATCACATTCCTTAAGCTCATCTATGATCACGTCCCTACTGATCACTACTTGCTTGTTTGCTAGATAGGACAACTTGTATCCACCAGTCGAATATTCTATTAGGATCATTTGACTTTATGCGTTTTATGTCTTTTTTTCCCCAAGTTTTATGGAAGTGCACTTGAATTTGATTTTCTTGAGTTAAGGAAGTGAACTTCCATATTTTGTCTGAATTTGATTTTTCTGAGTTACATAAGTGCTCTTTTGTATTTTGTCTGCATTGTTTGATTTCGCATGTCTGTCATCTAAGTTTGATTTTGTCTGTATTATTTGATTTCGCATGTCTATCTTCTAGTTTAATTATAGGTAAAATGACTGACAACCAAGATTGATTGAGACATAATAGAGTGTCTTTGCATGCATATGTTCGCATGAAGAGAGCTAAATCCTCGAGACCACCAATTGTTTCCAGTTCATTTGATGTGAAAATGTCCACTTACGAAGTTCACGTGTCTCCAGCTTCTCCTTTCACGTGCCACCTATTGCTGCCCCCGAAGTCCATTTTGATCAGCTTGTTGCTAATGTTGTCGTTCACGATGCCGTTCCTGAGGTTTTTAGAGGAGTCCCCTATGACATTTCTCTACTGCCTTTGTATGCAAACCATCCTTTTAGACATGTATGAGATGGAGAGGTAAAATAAATATGTATTTGTTCTTTTTAATATGTATTATAATATTTGAAATTGATGACAGTAATGTATTTTTTTACAGTATCTTGATGCTTTAAAATGAATAAACCATAGTAGGTGTAGTGGTAGAAATATTGAGACTAAGCCATTGAATTGACTTAACTCGCACAAATCAAATAAAAATCGCCACCGGACTTTATTGTTTCCAAAGGAAATGGGAAAAGAGCGAATAAGCCCAAAAAAGAGGGGGAGATAATCTAGGTACGAGGCTTGGTTATGCAAAGAGAAGGTATTAGCACCCTAAAAATCTATGATACTCCACAGGAGCCTCTTTGAAAATCTGTGTATTTTGGATATAAAAGGTGTATACAAAAATATATGGTGGAGATGAGAAAAGAAGTATTTTTTATAATTTTGCACCCGCCGCGGTTGAGAAATTTTAGTGCCTACGTACCACCTTCCGTACAATAGGGGATCAGAGTACTCGTAGTTCACCTCAAAAATTTTAAAACACATGTGTGTTGATTAATTTTAAGAGAAGAGACATCATCGTCATATCCGAGTGGAAAACATACTTACTGCCACAATTATGAGAAAGGGGAATTTGCATCATCTCAAAGTGGAGGATATATATTGGACTTTAAAATCAACAAAGCCTCACTCAACACCCAAGTGGAAAATATCTCACTTCACTATACATCATAGAAGTATAGTGGCTCGCATCACTACAAGAATTGACAAGAGTCTAATCTTTTGAGAAAAGTTTTAAAGTAAAAAGTCAAAGTGAAAAAATTGTTTGAATGAGGTTAATTGACTTTTAGTATTTAGAAAGATGTCAAATTATGGTTAAGCTGATTAAAGTTTGATTAAGAAAAGATTTTTGAAAATGCATGGACCTAAGTCCAAGTTTATTATGAAAGCGATTCAAGTTAGAAAACAAGAAGAGTTTTGAAAAGGAGGGAGAAGATTTTTGAAATTAAAGAAGATAAGAAGAGATGAAGGGACTATCCTAAAGAAAAAGGTAAAAGCTAAGGAAAAGAACGATCTAACCAACAAGAAGCCAACACTTGACATAAGAAATCAATGTAGAATTCTCATCCTTTGGATTAAAACCAAGCAAGCAAAGATACTAAGCCTCTGAGAAAATATAAAGCTTCGGATGAATTAAGTCTTCACAAAAATTGGACAGAGTAAAGGCTGTATACAGAAGAATTCTTAATCATAGACAAAACATATAATCAGAATAACCTGCACACAAAGAAAATCAACCCAATATCTTGGAGTAAACCCCAAGAACTTCAGACAAAATAACAATAGAGCCACAAGGTCCTAATTATCAAGGCTTCTAATTCTAAGTCCGAGAGATCCACAAATCCACAATGCTAATGATAGTAACCAAGTAGTCCAAGTAACCTTAAAGTTTTTTAATGTTTAAGTTGATTATTAAGTATCTTGAAAAAATAAAAGCTCAAATGAGCAAAGATAAAATGACATAAAGATAAATGTTCAAGTGAACAAAAGAAGAAAAAAAACGCATGGAATATAAATGCTAAAGTAAATGGTACATACAAATAAACACACAAAATAAAGGAATAAAGTAAAGTTAATTGTTAGTGAATTAGAAATTAGAATACAAAGATAACAAAAGGTTAGTTGAATGACCTTCTTAAAACATATTTTTGAAAACTCATTAGAAGATTGATAAAATCAAAGCTTCTCAACAATAAATTTCATTTGCTTTTTGTCAAGTATATCATTCATTTCAAGTGCTCGAAGCAACCACATATAATCAACGATGTTCAAATGATTCACTTAGACCAAAGTTCATGAAGTTAATTAGATGATTGATAGAATCAAAGTCTCCCAACAATGAACTTCAAAGTTATTGGATCAAAGGTTTCAAATTAAACATACTTGGGCTTGCAAACATAGGTTTGAGCCACAAATAATCATTTTTTGAACCGATACAAATTTAGCACTATGTTAAGCAATCGTAAGTGGACTTATGTAAAAGTCACGCCTATTTTAAGACCGGTCAATAGCCATTTATGTACCAACATGTTAGAGAAATGATATGTAGATTATTCTCCAAAAACATGTAGCACAAGTAAAAACAAGAAAGGGATAAGATGAAGAGGGAGGAAGATGTATCATATGAAACTAGGGTTTTAA